GAACATCTGGAGGCCCAAGGTTGAGGACCACTGCTCTAGGGGACAATATATGTGTCAAATTTGGGAACCACTTCCTAAATTTGACACATTTAGGAAGTGGTTCCCCAACCTTGGGTCCCCAGATGTTCTCGGGCTACAATACAATTCCCGGAAATCCTGGCTAGCACAGATAGTGGCAGAGACTTCCGGGAGTTTTAGTCCAAGAATATTTGAGGACCCGAGGTCGTGAATCGGTGGTGATGGAGAGCTTCAAAACATGATAAAATTGCCCCCGTATCCCCTAGAGGGTACGTGGGACATGTTTCTGCAAAACATTTTTTCATATTTCTGAGAGTGTGGGGGTGCTGAGGGAGCATGGGGCCCTAGGGCCCTGGGGGAAGCCACAAATGGCCCTCCCCTGCTCTAGAAAAAGCAAAGCAAAGCATACTGCTTATATACTGCCCCATAGCGCTTAAAACACTCTCTGTGCAGTTTACAGGTTACTTATGCACATTGTCTTCCCCCACCCCCCAGCAAGCCGGGTACTCCATTTACCAACCTTGGAAGGATGGAAGGCTGAGTGAACCTTGAGTTAGCTACCTGAGATTGAACCCCCAGATCTTGAGCACCGTTTTGGCTGCAATACAGCAATTTAACCACGGTGTCATGAGGCTCATCATAGGGGAAGGGTTGCACTCTTTCTAAGAAATTAAAATTTGTGGATTTTTTCCAAATCATTTATGGGCCTTTAGGACCACTTCCAGGTCTTTGGAGTAGAGATGGGCAAGAACCGGTTCGTCCCGGCAGTGCGGCTGTTCTCCTGCCCGTCTCCTCAGGCTCCATCAGCCCCTTGGCAGGCTCAGCCTCCGTGATCTTCAACTGATCTTCCGGTCCTGGCAGCAGCTCAGGCTTCTCTGCCCCGCCCTCTCGGCGGATCTGCCACTCAGACAAAAAGGGCGGGGCCGAGAAGCCTGTGCTCTTGCCCGTGACTGGGAGATTAGCCGTGGAGGTGGAAAAAAACAAGCCAGCAAGCTGGGCTTGGGGGATGAGGAGGTAAGGGAGGGGAACCGCAGGCCAGGAGTCTATGCTAATGGACACTCCATTGCCCGGTGTTGAGAGAGAGGTGCTGAGTGATGGCTTGAAAGGTTTAGATAAATGAGAAGCCGGGGAAACTCCTTTCAATCAACATGTTTCCCTTCTTCCTCTCTCTTTCCAGGAAGAGGTTCGGCTTCATTTCAGGAACATTTCCAGGATCATGGACTGTGTTGGATGTTTCAAATGCCGCCTTTGGGGAAAGCTGCAGGTAAGTAACACCCCTTATTCCTCCTGGCTCTGCCTTTTTTTAAAAAAATGTGCTTTGTCTTTTAAAAGCTGATTTAGAAAAGCCTTACTCTTCACATGGTGAGTAACGTAGATTGAAAAACAAGCGTTGAATTTGCCAGGGGCATTGCTACTGTTTTTTTTTTTTTTTTAAGCAGAATACAGCTGGGTTTCCACGTTGGCCATTCAGCTTTAGCTGTTGTGCTAATCGCCAGATCGGTGGACCAGAATGTCCTTGGGCATGGGGAACGAAATTTTTTTAAAAAATGGAGTCGCTCTTGGTTTGCTGACCAGCGTGCAAGAGTACGCACAGAGGAACAGGGCTGGCTCAGAAGCGTTTGAAGTGGAGCGTCGGGCTCTGGCGCTGTGGCCGAGCATCTGCTTTGAATGGGAAGTTCCTGGTTTATTATCCCTAACCACTGCAGGAGTGGACAGGACAAAATCCTGCCTGATGTTCTGGCGAGTGATGGCTAGCCGTCCGTCTTGGCAAAAATGGGCTGAGGGTTGGACTTGGCAGCTCCTTCTATAGCAATAGTTCCCATCGTCGGGTCCGCAGTTGGTTTTTGGATGGCATCTCCTAGAAATCCTGGCTGGAACAGCTAAAGGTGAAGTTTTCTGGGAGTTGCAGTCCAAGAACATCTGGGGACCTCAAGTTGAAGAATCGTGGCTCTGTCACATCCAGAGGCCGCTTGTAAGATGCTACGTTAGAAAAGAAAAATGCTTGTACAGGATCGATTCATTTCTATGGGGTGGGTGCTAGAAAATAGCTGTGGGTCAGAGCTATTTATTTGTTAATATAAAAGTGGCCAGAATCCTACTCTGAAATACTGCCTGCGTATGGCAGATTGCCCAAGTCTTTGTGCAGTTTTAAGCCCCTTGTTTGCACGTTGAGGTTCACAACCAACGAATGGCAGGGAATGACTGCGTGCAGCAGTCATATAGCTTTGGGTTTTTGCTGCCCCGACTCATAAGATTCTAGCCAGCGTGTATAAACTGCTTCGGTTGTGAGACCCGAGTTCAAGTCTTTGTTTGGCCATGAAACTCACTGGATCCCTTCGGGCAGTTCCACTGTCCTCCCATCGTGTGCAGCCTCACAAGGTTCTAGTGGGGAGGAGGAGAACCATTTTCTCAAGGAAGGAAAGGCATTATAATGAATTAATGCGATAATGCTAGGAAAAGCTGAAGGCAGCAGGAAGAGAGGGAGACCACATGGGAGAGGGGATGACTTCCTAAAGGAAGCCACAGGCTTGCGTTTCCTAGAGCTGAGAAAAGGACCTTTCAGAGATTGTTCATTCATAGGGTCTCCATAAGTCAGAGACAACCTGATGGAATATAATAAGGACAGTAAATACAAATAAATAAATACAGTGAAGGGGGAAGCCCAACTAGTAAGTCTTGCAGAAATGAAATAGGTGGGGCTTGCTACACTGAAAAACAGGATTTCAGCCAGTCGTTTGAAAAACAAGAAAGTAGTGAGTTAAGGTGTGGAGGAGAAGGCATTGATAGAGGCTTTGTTGTGGTCCAACAGCCACAACGTGGGCCCCTGTGTGTGTACATGTTGCTTTTTCTCCCCAGCTTGGTGCTTACTGCTGTTTGCATTATTGTTGAACAATCTTTTAAGATACTTTGTACCTGGAAGTTGTGTTTCTTAGGAGAATCAGTTGGCTTATTGTTGTTGTTTAGTCATTAAGTCGTTTCCAACTCTTCGGGACGCCATGGACCTGAGCACGCCAGGCCCTCCTGTCTTCCACTGCCTCCCGGAGTTGGGTTAAATTCATGTTGGTTGCTTCGATGACACTGTCCAACCATTTCATCCTCTGTTGTCCCCTTCTCCTCTTACCTTCACATTTTCCCAACATCAGGGTCTTGTCCAGGGAGTCTTCTCTTCTCATGAGATGGCCAAAGTATTGGAGCCTCAGCTTCAGGATCTGTCCTTCCAGTCAGCACTCAGGGTTGATTTCCTTCAGAATGGATAGGATTGTTCTCCTTGCAGTCCAGGGGACTCTCAAGAGCCTCCTCCAGAACCACAATTCAAAAGCATCCATTCTTCAGCGGTCAGCCTTCTTTATGGTCCACCTCTCACTTCCCTATATTGCTACTGGAGAAACCATAGCTTTGACTATGTGGACTTAATAAGTTGGCTTATTAGTTTGTCTAAATGTGCCCCCATTCATTTGCATAGTTCTGTTATCGTCATTTAAATGGAACTCTGTTTCATTCAAGTACTAAGAAGACGTGTGACCATTTCCCTTGATCTTAGATGAGGCATGCCTCTTGTTCGCTCAGCAGTTGAGAATGCCTCTTCTAACAGAAGGGATGTGTAGGTTTTGTTCAAAATACAAAGGGAAGCTTCCTGTTTTCTTCAGAGGCATTTTTATTGGCATCCAAATTTGTGAAGATGGAATTGATGTAGGATTGTGACTTGGGCGCCCATGCCGTTATTGAGATCTTTGGGATGAATCATTTGCAACTGGAGCCTTCCCCAGTGTCCTAGGTAGGCTACATGGTGGACTACATGTCCCATCACCCCTGAGCAGCACAGGACCGTGGAACTTAAGGCATGTAAAGGCTCACATTGAGAAAAGGCTGTGCTCAACTGGAGCCTTCCCCAGTGTCCTAGGTATGGTGGACTACACGTCCCATCACCCCTGAGCAGCCCAGGACCATGGAACTTAAGGCACCTAAAGGCTCACATTGACCTGTTGACTCAACCGGGCTCCTCCTCTTGCCTTTGCATACAGACTCAAGGTTTGGGAACGGCACTGAAAATTCTGTTTTCGGAGAGCCAGATAGAAAACATGCCAGAAAAGGGTCCTTCCCACACCTTCCACCTGACAAGGCAGGAAATCGTGTCCTTCTTCAATGCTTTTGGAAGGTGAGTGTGCCGTTTTATGTTTGCAAACTTTTGAGAGATTGCATGTGCAAACACTGATCTTTTTCTCTCTCCTCCTGCATAATGTCTTTTGCGTGGGCACCATTCAGATGTCACAACAAACCATGGTTTCTGTGAATTGTTGTTTACAGTGCAGACCATCGTTTACGCTGCTGGCGTGCACTGATCTCTAAAGGTGACGTTGTGGGTGTCACTGTGATTTCCTTCCTGTTACAGTGTTTGAAAAATAGCTAAACCATAGGCCCTTGATCTGATCCTGGGGGGCTTCTCTTAGGTTCAGACATCTCTTAGAGCAGCCAGAAGGACTAGAAACTTGCTCTTAAATGGAAGCTGAGGATGACACCTCCGTCTTTTTCTGATCATTGACATCCTGCAACCCCAAAGAATCCTGTTGATGTTTTTTTCCCCTGTCCCTTCCAATACAGGATTTCAACGAGTGTCAAAGAATTAGAAAACTTCAGGAACCTTTTACGACCTCTGCAGTGACCTGGTTTTTGCAAGAGACGGTGCCTCCCCCCGCCCCTTGTTCTCCATGGATGGGGCCTGGAGCCGTTCCTCTGAAGTGGTCCCAAGAGACTTGCCCCCCCGCCCCCAGCTTGGGAAGAGGAGTGTCGCTGGCAGGGGCCCAGGGCATCTGACCCCCCCCCGTCCGGCTTGCAAGCTGACATTTGTCCCAGCAGGCTCTGAAATTCTCACGAGAGACTCTTTGGTCCAGGGCAGAGAGAGGCAGACTTTGCCTGTGCGTGTTAACGTCTGTGTCTTTTCTTTGCGGAACTCCTGCGGTCCACCGGCGTTGCTCTTAACTGGACAGATGGATGGAAATCGGTTTCACCTCTGCTGATCGGAACTCTTTGCTCCAGAAGAAGCTGCTTCAGGGAATTAACAAGGTGCTGGTTCCGTCCCTTGTCGTGTAGCCGTACAACTGGGCACGTCACCATCACCTTGTTCATGAAGTCCGATTTGCTGACCCAACATCCGGTGTCAAAACCCAATAGAAATCTGGTCCCTCTTCAGCACACCACGCTCAGCATTCTTCCTTAAAAGAAATACGCCGGGTTTTCCCTCCGTCATTTTCCCAAAGTCCAGCATTTTTTTAAAAACAAGAATTCCCTTAACAAGAACACTGTGAGCTCTGTTGGGAACTGGCTAATGGACTGCCAGCCTTCTTTCCATCTCAATTCCGGGCATGTCTTGCGCTGTGGACGCGTCATTTCTGGACTCCTGCCGAACTCACTGGGCAACACATTTCTGAAAAATCCAACAGGTGTGGTTGTAAATACTCTAGGAAACCTGAGTTAAGGACAGCCCTAAAACAAAGAAGGTCAAACGTTTTTTTTGGGAACTGGCTAATGGACTGCCAGCCTTCTTTCCATCTCAATTCCGGGCATGTCTTGCGCTGTGGACGCGTCATTTCTGGACTCCTGCCGAACTCACTGGGCAACACATTTCTGAAAAATCCAACAGGTGTGGTTGTAAATACTCTAGGAAACCTGAGTTAAGGACAGCCCTAAAACAAAGAAGGTCAAACGTTTTTTTTCTCTCTCCCTCTAGGAAACCTGAGTTAAGGACAGCCCTAGAACAAAGAAGGTCAAACGTTTTCTCTCTCTCTCTCTCTCTCTCTCTGTCTTTTTTTTACACACAATTTTTCACTTTGCAGGGCTGATCCAGTCCATGGTAGGTCTTTGGGGCGGAAAACTGCCCCCCCCCACAGCTGCCTAAAAGTCAGCACAGCTTGGAAGCAGGTTGACTTTGGGGGTGACCCTGGCCAGGTTAAAATCATAGAATCATGTTTTTGGAAGAGGGTCCCGTAAGGTCATCCAGACCAACCCCCTGCTCAAGGCAGGAATCCAAACCAAAGCAGATCGGACCGAGGGCTGCTGAACTTCCTCTTGAACGCCTCCAGTGTTGCAGCGCTCCCCACCTCTCGGAAGAGGGTCCCATAAGGTCATCCAGACCAACCCCCTGCTCAAGGCAGGAATCCAAACCAAAGCAGATCGGACCGAGGGATGCTGAACTTCCTCTTGAACGCCTCCAGCATTGGAGCGCTCCCCACTTCTGCCCAAGGTCATGGGTTCCCTTGTCGTGCTGCTCTAACAGTTAGGAAGTTTTTCCTGATATTCAACCGAAGTCCGTCTTCCTGTCACTTGAGCCCAGTATTACGTGTCCTGCGCTCTTGGTGACTCACCTAGCTAGGGATTTGTTGGGAATGTTGGTCCAGAAAAGGAGTTTTCCGCGCTCTGGAAGGAAGCCTTGGGAATTACAAAGTGGTGCAGACTCTTTAACTCTCCTGAAAACAGGAGAGATCTTTGCGTCCAGGGAAGAGGTAAGGGGTTAGGGTTGACAAGAGTGGGGACCTTTTGCTTTTTTAAAAAAAGTTTGGCATCTGTTATAGGCTGCCAAACCCTATAGCCTTTAGCCCTATTGAGTCGTTCATGGCACACCTTTAACTGAGATGCAGAGAAGGGGAGCATGGTAACTCCCCTTCCTGGATCCTTTTTGACCTGGCCATGTGACCACGGAAAGATTGTCTTCGGACAAAACGCTGGCTCTATGGCTTGAAGAGCGGGATGAGCGCCGCCCCCTAGAGTCGGACACGACTGGACAAAAATTGTCAATGGGAACCTTTACCTTTACCTTTTTATGGTGACAGTTCTGAAGAAGGGAGCCCGGGGGGGGGGAGCTTCCCCCCCAGGGTAGAACCAAGGGCAGCTGGTCCATGGGCCCAAATGGGATTCTGCCTCTCTTCCGGCTACTTCTCCCTCTCTACAGCTAGCCAGCCTACTCACTAGAAGTGGAGAATCAGGGCCCATCGTGTGTTTCCCTTCTTGGTATATTTGTGAATCTGCCGGCTTCTGTATATGGAATCTTCCAAACAGCAAAAGACTTTCCAGCATCTTCCGTTCATCTCAGGTGAAAACCTACTTAACTCACTCTTTCTTTCTTTCTTTCTTTCTTTCTTTCTTTCTTTCTTTCTTTCTTTCTTTCTTACTTACTTACTTACTTACTTACTTACTTACTTACTTACTTACTTACTTACTTACTTACTTACTTACTTACTTACTTACTTACTTACTTACTTACTTACTTACTTACTTACTTACTTACTTACTTACTTACTTACTTACTTACTTACTTACTTACTTACTTACTTACTTACTTACTTACTTACTTACTTACTTACTTACTTACTTACTTACTTACTTACTTACTTACTTACTTACTTACTTACTTACTTACTTACTTACTTACTTACTTACTTACTTACTTACTTACTTACTTACTTACTTACTTACTTACTTACTTACTTACTTACTTACTTACTTACTTACTTACTTACTTACTTACTTACTTACTTACTTACTTACTTACTTACTTACTTACTTACTTACTTACTTACTTACTTACTTACTTACTTACTTACTTACTTACTTACTTACTTACTTACTTACTTACTTACTTACTTACTTACTTACTTACTTACTTACTTACTTACTTACTTACTTACTTACTTACTTACTTACTTACTTACTTACTTACTTAGTATGCCAACAAACCCAAAAGGCCCCCCCCCCCCCCCCAGCTCTTGAAAAAATAAAAATAAATCCTGCGGCTATTCTCAAATCTCAGGTTGTAGCTAAGCAGGAAAATGGAATTAGTGTCATGCTGGGTTAATGCAGAGTTTGGAAAAGGGAGTCGGTCGGATTGTATAGTTCCGACAATCTCCCACACCATGGCGAGGGGAGCCTGGGAGCGGGAGTCTAAATAAAAGCCTTTCCCGCCCTCCCTCATCTTGTGCTCATGGTCCGTGCAAGTCCGCCTTGATAATGGAAGAGGGGGTGTCTGTTTTTGGATTCTCCTGGCCAGAGGAACCCACTGGGGTGGGGGGCGGACTCTGGGCAGCCAGTAACTGCCCCTTGGCTGTTCTTCCTCACCGGCCAGAGAACCTCAGCTTCCTCTCAGCTGATTTATCTCCCAGGAGTTTGTGAGTCTAGCTCTCAAAACTGGCCCTGTTGGTTGGAGGAACAACAGAAGCTGTAAATCCAACACAGCTGGAGAGTAAGTACATTTCTGAACTCGGTGGTCTTCGAAGATTGCTTTCTTTGCTCAGCAAACAGTGGACGACAGTTCATCATCATAGAATAAGAGAGTTGGAAGGGACCTCTTAAGGCCATCGAGTCCAACTACCTTCTTCGTGCAGGAAACCAAATCAAAGTAAATCTGATAGCAGGTGGTCCAATTTTCTCTTGAAAGCCTCCAGTGTTGGAGCGCTCACCACCTCTCCCTAGAGGTCACGCGTTCCCCCTTGTACTGCTCTAACAGGAAGTTTTTTTTTCTGAGATTCAGATTAAATCTGACTTCCTGTGACTTGAGCCCATGGTTGCGTGTCCTGCACTCTGGGGTGATCGAGAACAGATCCTGCCCCTCCTCTGTAGGACAGCCTTTCAAGTACAGTATTTGAAGCGTGCTCTCTTCTCTCCCCTCCGTCTTCTTTCCTCAAGGCTAAACCCGCCCAGTTCTTTCAGCTTTTCCTCCTCCCAGGGCTTGGTTTCCAGTCCCCTGATCACCCTTTGTGGCCGTCATCTGAACCCGTCCCAGTTTGTCTGCATCCTTCTTAAAGTTCAGTCTCCGGAACTGGACACGGGACTCAAGATGAGGCCTAACTAGTACGGACTACGTGGCAGAGTTCTCCAGGAAGGACACTTCACAAAGACAGCTCGCCCTTTCTCAAGCAAGCCCAAATCAGGTGGACCTTTGCTTTGATTCAAAACATCTCAGATGCTTTCTATCCATGATCAGAGAATTCTTGCACCACCTTCTTGCACAGTTGATCAACTGTTTGATAGTATTGGAGCATTAGGGGGGTGCTTGATTCTAGCACCCCGTGGGGTAAAAGCAAGGACTATTATACCTCTGTAAGTTATCACAGCTTGTTATCCCTCCATAAAAGCATGTGTTTGTTTATTTAATTTATACCCCTCCTATCTGGTCATTGCCACCACTGTAGGCGGCCAATAAAACCAAACGCCAATAGCTTGAGCCGGCCTCTCCTTGGACACAGGACATGTTTCCTGAGTCTGAGCTCTTGTCTGCTCCAGAAGTTGGCGCCACTGTCGGCGATGTTCTGTTCTCGGAGAAACACATTGTAGAATTGCTCTTCTTGCGAAATGCTATGGGTAGAACTCTTGTCCTCTCCCTCAGCAAGCAAGCGATCCCTTGTCAAACAAAAGAGGGAGTGCTCGTAAGAGATGGCTGTGCAGGCTTGTTGAATGCCTCTGGTCGTGTGTAAAGGACAAGGAGTGGAATGCATTTATGATGCAGAAGAATGGGTGAATAGAGCTAGAATATATGCACTGTTTCGCTCGTTCTCTTTGTGAGCGAGCATTGCTCGTTCTCTTTGTGAGCGAGCATTGGAGCAGAGGAGCATTCTCAAGCACACCATTAAGATAAACCCATTTTCAGCGTAGATGATTTTTGCATACACATGTAGATGGTTCAGTGGTCCCCAACCTTGGGCCTCCAGATGTTCTTGGACTACAACTCCCAGAAGCCTTCACTACCACCTCTGTTGGCCAGGATTTCTGGGAGTTGAAGCCCAAGGTTGGGGACCACATCTCTAAACCACCTAATACAAGCGTGCTGGATAGTTCATCAAGTTAGGTAGCTAGTTGTGGAGGCAGAAGGTGGGGAGTTCAATTCCCTAGGTGGTGCAGTGGTTAAAACTACAGTCAAGACTTTGCTCACAACCGGAGTTCGATCCCAGTGGGCTCGAGGTTGACTTTGCCTTCCGAAAACCAGTAAATGAAGCACCCAGCTTGTAGGAACAAGGTGGGGATCATGTGTAGCCCAATTAATAAAATTATAAACTACCCAGAGAGTGCTTTAAGCATTGTGGGGTGGTATATAAGTAGTATGCACAGGCGTACACTTACTCAGAAAAGAGCCAGCCTATGTAGCCTTGAGCAGCCTGTGCAATGGCCCTAGGGCATTCCCAGAAGAAGGGAATGGCAACCACTTTTGTGTAGTGTTTTTTTTAACCTAGGACATACTGGCAGTGGTCAGCAAGAGTTGAACACAATTATTACATATACAGAGATGTGAAGATTGTCAAGTGTCATTACCTTCTTGAAGCGGGTGTCCTCTGGGTGTTTTGGACTATTAAAATCCCCCTCCAGGCCAAAGGAATCGGGTTGGGGGGGGAAATGGTGCATAAGAAGTTACATACAGCCCTCATAATGTGTCATGTTGCCAGAAGTCATAGGAGCAGTGCAATTTATTGTGCATCGTCCCCTGCCCCATGTTGTTTGCCCTCCAGATGTGCATACTTAATTTT